ATACAAACACCTAACTAATAGCGAATTCGTTTATTATTCAGTTCCAACCTGGATCGGGTATCAAGATTGGGTCTGCTTGTTTTCTGACAAACGTCAGTTTGCTCGTTTGTTTTTAAACCTAGCTCAGGTTGAGGTTCGCACTGACAAAAAGTTCGGTTTCGCACTGGGTTGGAACTGGTTCCAACCCCGATAATAAACGAATTCGCTATAAGCTTGAACACTAACACTAATGTCTTTTCTATATGCGAACGGAACAGTAGCTTCTCATCGAATACCATTCCTAGGTACACAAAAAAAAATTCTGAAGTTTATTGGTGATTGAAACATCCATGCATGCAAACATTCATGCGTGCAAACTTCATTTTCACGTGAACTAACAACTTGTAATGATGATGCCAATTCACGAAATGCCTGTGAAGATGGCCACTAAATTCCCGTGTTTTTTGGACAGCGGTGCGTCGGAGCGCATGCTCCGAGAACTGAAAGCGTTCAGCGAATTAAGGGAGTGTGAGGAGGTGAAGATTGCTACAGCTCAAGAAGGAGCAAACATTGTTGGTAAACAATGGGGAAATGTGTCCCTCAGAAGCAGAGTTGGATCAAATAAAGTGATTTTGGATTTATACAATGTGCTTTTCATTCCCGACCTACATTGCAACTTGCTGTTTCCCGTATTGAGTCTTCTGGGAAGTCTGTCCACTTTGAGAATGGTTCGGTTATGATTCGTGACGAAGTCGGAAAGGTGATCGCAAGAGGGGTAAGGGTCGGTGGACTCTACTAACTCGATGTGAACCTTGTTGATCTACATGAAAAAGCATGTTTTGGTAAATCAAATACAAATTTAACTGTATGGCATAAACGATTTGGACATTTGGGGGATACAAATTTGTTGCAGCTCGCCAAGGACAAAATGGTTGAAGGGTTGGATTTCCAACCGTCTTCATTGGCAAGTGATTCTACAATTTGCAAACCGTGTATAGAAGCAAAACATTCTCGAGACCCATTCAACGGCGGTAATAGACCAAGGTCCAAAAGACCTTTGGAACTATTTCATTCAGATGTGTGCGGTCAAATGTCAGATAAGACATATGACGGGTATAAGTATTTTGTGAGTTTTATAGACGATTACACGCACTTTGTGATGGTGAATCTTATAAAAAGCAAGGATGAGGTTCTTCAAAAGTTCAAAGAATTTGAAGATTTTGCCACTTCTCATTTCTCTACTCGTATTTTCAAACTAAGAACGGATAATGGAGGAGAATATTTTGGTAAAGAATTTGTTTCGTTTTGTCGCGAAGAAGGGATTCTGATGGTTTCAACGGCTCCATACACACCTCAGCAAAATGGTGTAAGTGAGCTTATGAATCGGACCCTCATGGACCCCAACCAGTTCTTTGACGGAAGCTAAAACACCGTACGAAATGTGGTTTGGGTCTGTTCCAAATGTTAGAAATTTGAGGGTTTTCGGATGTGCTTCATATGCACATATTAATAAAGAAAACCGTAGAAAATTGGACAAGCAGAGTGAACGTTTGGGTCTTGTTGGATATGCTCCAAATGGATATCGTCTTTGGAATAAAGTAAAAAGAAGAATTATAATTTCAAGAGATGTCGTGTTTGATGAATCTAAGTCTTTTTGCATCATTTGTGATCGAACGGATGCTCAAAATAACCAATTTGAAGACAACGTGGCAGATTTGCCGGTTGTAGAGGTTTTTGAGACGTGTGATCAAACTGGAATGAACTTTATAACTGAAAATGATGATAACATGTGTGATATCTTCAAAAGAATTCGAGGAAGCCATATCGGATTCTGAACTAGACCAGGATGAAAATGAAACGGTGTTACGCAGAAGCCAGAGAAATACAAGCGTTCCAGGTTGGCTGAATGAATACGAGACTAATTTTTTAGCGATCAATTGTATTGATAATATTCCACAAAACATCAACGAACTCAAGAAACGCGACGATTGGCCAATATGGAAGGATGCTATCGAGTTACAGTCTTGATATGAGAACATCCATTAACTCAATGTGGGTGTTCACGATAAAGATACATCGATATAAAGCACGTCTTGGGGCAAAAGGTTGTTCACAACGTCCTGGAATGGATTTTTGTGAAATTTTTTCGCCAGTGGCCAAAATGACTAGTGTTCGTACACTTTTGTCAGTCGCTGTACAAAAGAAGTGGATTATCCATCAAATGGATGTGAAAACAGCTTTTCTGAATGGTTTTCTTGAAGAAACCATTTACATGCGACTACCTAATTTGGACAATGAAGGTGGTAAAATATGTAAGTTAAACAAGAGCATTTATGGGCTGAAACAAGCCGGAAGAAGTTGGAATCTTAGATTGGATCAAACAATGACAGATATGGACTTCAAGAGACTAAACAGTGATTCATGTATTTATGTATGTAAGAACAGAAAAATCATTATTTGCAGGACAAAATTCTCATTAATTGGAGAAATACTTACTTTCACCTTAACAAAAGTGTGCTATTTCAAACCTGGTCGAGGTTTCAAGCCTCGGTCATTCGTCTTAACAATGCCGCTCGCGCTAAGCAAAACCGTACTCTACAAGATTTAGTCAAATAAATTAATCTATTGTACATTCTCACAGACAGACAAACCTCGGTCCGTACACGGTCCAATGGGTTTACCCTACTCTTGAGTAATTAATCAACTCAACACGGTTGTCATAAATCACTTAAAATTAAATCAAACTTTACTCTTAAGCAAATTGTTCATTGTATGTCGAGTTGTATGTTTAATATTACATCAATATAAAATATTATTTTTAATGCTCTCCCATACCTTATTATATCTACCACAGACAGTTGCATGCAATATATGGAATATTGCATGACATGTCTCATAAATTCACACGATCTATTATGTAAACTTGTATGATATATGACGCTTCATTTATGTGCATCATAGTAACGGAATTTTACACTACTTTTTTTTTAACTGTGTAGCTTCAACTCCGAACCACAGACAAACAGACGTAACTCTTTGAAAAACTTGTTCTTGAAAACATAGTATCTCAAAACATATAACCTCAGTAACGACATCTATCTGGCTTCTCGCGGAAATCAAGCTTGCTCACTAACTCGTAAACAATATTGCATAAAATTTCTATAGAATATATAGAAACGTCAAAGTGATCCGATGCCAGCGCTGCGGCGAGTAGTTCGCGGAACTGATAATATTCAAATCAACCGTTAAATGCATGAACGAAGATACACAATGAAGAGTTACGTCTGTTTGTCTGTGTCCGAACGGAGCAATTTAGTTTTTTTTAAACTAATCGAAAGTTTCCGATCGTAGCTTGCATTCTATCACACCGTTTATTTTAAAAATTATCCCTGCAAACTAGGTGTAAAATGTGAAAACTTGCTACATTTTGGAACGTTGTTTTTTCAGTTTTCAGTTTTTTACAGATGGGACTGACTTGCGGTTATGGGCAGTAAATGTCAATCAATTTTTACAAAACCAATTTCATGTGGAAGCTAAGATGATCCTTCATTCAATCGTCTGTAACAAATTGAAAATTAGACTTCAAATTCTTCTGGGGCAGGAATACCATTTTCAGTACACAGTATGAAAACTACAAGGAACTGCCCTATGGGGTTGTACGCAATGGTGACGTAGGACTACGTGATCTTATATTATAAATTTTATTTGTTAACTGCAGCAGGAGCTTGTGTTTGGTGTAGGAATAGTAATTTGAGCGGGGATCTCTCTATTTATGCTCTTTAGTATGACGCGCTTGGCATAGATGCTGATTCCGATCAGTAGCGGTGCAGCTTGTTCCTCCGACGACCGCACACAACCACACACGGTGATTGGAACTAAATCCGATCAGCGGTTGTGAGCACCCATGATAGCTAGCTGCTTGCGGGAAGCCTTTCGTTGTGTACTGGAGAACACCACCACTCACCGCACGGTGATTGAATAAACACCGTTTGGTGAGACCGGATGGAATTCAACTTTGAAATCTGTGCTAGGGAAATCACTTTTCGCAGGCTATCGGTGATAATTTTAATTATCGCAGCAACAGTTGCACATTCGTGCAATTTTCAATAGTAACATTTTGAAAAATGATAGTCTTAAATTTACCAAATGCGTAGGAATATTTCTGATCGATTGATGATAAAATTATTGAAATTGGTCCAGGGGCAGCTGAGTTATTAACATTCAAAATCTTTAATAATTTTGTTTCATGTTTCATTTTCGGTTTTCACAAAGTGTACCCCCATATAGAAATTACAGACGTAGCCCTACGTAAAAAAAAAAAAACATTTAGTTGGACTTTTTAGATGGAAACTCAATTACTAAAACTATTTCTAAACGGAAAACCCCTAAGGAATCGAATGGAAATTGGGTTGTTGGGTTTTAGTGGCACTAGAAGCAGGGTAAATCCGAAGAAAACATATCAATTTTCTTCTGAGGATGTAATCTTTGCTATCAAATTCTTTCAAAGCATTTACCTTTGAGCGGCAGATGACGCCATTGTACCTGTCTCATAGCGTTCGTATGAGTAAATGGAAGAGTTGCCAGTCTTCCTGATATGTTGTCTTCGGTAAAACCCAAATTTTCACTCATAACTACTCGAACATGATTCGTGTCGTGAACAACCACCTGCGCATTCGATTCCTCATAAAAAATCTTTTTTTTTGTGTAAATATCCCATCATATCAAGCGGCATTTTGCGATATTGAATTAAGTTACACAGCAAAAAATAAAGTTTAATATTACATCCAAGAGGATGCACTTCAATCATGTCGAAAATCTCATGTAATTTCTATGGCCACAAAAATCAACAAATGCAGTAAAAGCAGCGTAATGTTTGTGCAGGCTCTGTATTAATATAGTTTTGTTCTTTTTTGGAAGTAATATTACACAATATTTTTGACACGATTGAAGTTTAAAAAAAAATCCCTGTGTACCGGTGCTTTAGTACGTTTTAAGATTTGCGTTGCATTGTAACTACTTACTGCATGCGGTGCAATTCAACTGTCGATCCATGGCTTCAACTTCATCCGGCATTTCAGTAGCCCAGCTTTCCGTGACATCCGTCGTCGTTTCGGCAGAATCGTAATAAATCGTGCTTTCCGTTTGAATCTACACTGGAGAAACCGAATACATGTAGCTTCCCAGCATTCTAACAACTCTACAAATTGACATTCGCCTTTTGGTGCAGCAGTCCTCTTTTATCTTACCGCTTCATTTTTAGCTCCCACGTAGGGAATGGCAGTAGTTGTCATCACCTCTAGATTGTAAGAGGTCAATTCAGCATAAATCTTTGATGTTATTACACTTAATAGAACGACTAACACCAGCACCGCCCCACTTCTAATCTTCCGACCGCTCCACATTTAAGAGAACCTTAGATCAGAAAGACAGCAATCAACAACGACGATGACGACGACGGCGATTCAGAATGTATGATTGGATCGATACACCGACCGGCGAGAACTGATGGTCCATTTGCTTTTGGGTCATCATATCTTCCTTTCAGCATCCAACCGACGACGCTGTTTGACCACGCGCTGCATGCTTGGATCTCACACATTTGTTTCTCTCCATTCGGTGTAGGTACAGTGCTTTGCCGATTTTGTAAGCCACCTTTTGAAAAGCAAACCCCACACGCATCAATATATTGACGCGAAGGGGAATTATTGACAATAATATTGATGATGTGAATTCAGAAATATTGTCAATCTCGATGTATTGACGTCAATATAGAATGTATTGACAATACGATTATTGTCAATAAAAGCAATCGTGTAGGGTCCACTAAACATATTTAATGCTCCTCTTCAGATCTTGTTTGTCGAGTTTGGCCAGCAGCTCGATCTTGATAATGACTGTTGGAGATTTTAAAATTGAGGACACGTTACATTCGGGAGAGAGAAAAGTCTGTCACAGGCGAGGGGCTGACAAAATCGAAAAAACACTGTGCTACGTATAGCTGCGTGTGATTAACTAACGGGACTGACTTTTAAACTCTTATTTTATCGATAGGGCAGCTCTTTTAATCGTGGTGGCGTTGAGACTGACGAAGAGAGTGCCAAAAGAGGCGATGCATGAACCATGACATCCTCTCTTCTTTCCGACGGTTGATTGTTATTTAGTTGATGTTCGGATGGCTCAGATTTATGCAAAAAGCCTGTTTGTTTACAGTCTTTTGGTTGTGTGAGCTTCAGGGGTTTGCAAGTGCAAGGAACATAAATGGATGTACCAGCAGTTCGGACAGTTTGAGAGTTTTGTTTTAGAAACTTTCGAAACTGCATAATTTCTGAGAATCTAATCTAACATCAAGCCAGTTTTTGAAAGCATCCTGGAAAATGATAGATGTACCTTTATAATTTTTCTTGTCTATTTGGTAACATAGGCCACTTAGGCTCTGAACCATTTGGAATTTTTTTTAACTTTTCCTGCTATCCGGCAAACGCGCAATGTACTAAGGTTGTGTTCCATTTGGTGAATTTTCACTTAAATATGACAGATGGAAAATTTTCAAATAAACCTACTATTCCAGCAGACTTATTTCAAGCAGGCTTGCTTCCACTCAGTTGCTATAAAAAAATGATTTTAAGAATTTTGGAATCTTCAGATGTTATAATGATATTTTGTACTTGTTAGATACTTGTAGAGATGGAAAGGCAAGTGTTTGGTACATAAAACCTGTCAAATTCGCTTTCAGATAGTTACAATCAGTGATTTTACGACTCGCGAGCGCTCACTCTGAGTGAACGCTCACGAATCATAAAATCGCTGATTGTGACACTCTGAATGCGAAATTGACAGGTTTCATGTGTCAAACACATACTTTGCAACCTCTTCTTTCAACTTTTCAAGTACAAAATATCCGAGGGGGGCGACACATCTAAATCTCAATTCTAGATGCTCAAAAAATCTCACACTAGCGAATAAATCTTCGAAAAATCTTTTTTCATTTCTCGCATCTACTTGCATCGTGCATCATCTTTTTGCAGGAAATCTTCAAAATCGGGATAAATCTTCTTTCTATCTACTCAGCGTACGCGCAGCTAGCCACAGCAAAACACAATATTTCCTGCATCGTAGATAGAGTCGTCCCCCTCGAAAATATGATAATAACATCTAACGATTTTATAATTCAGAAAAATATTTTTTTATAGCAAGTGAGTGGAAGCAACGCTGATTTCAAGGAATCAATTATGACATACACGAAACGAAAATCAATTACCTTATTCATGTGTTACTCTTATACATTTTTGCCAAACCATCAGCCTTATACATTCAATACGCAAACAACATAGGTCCTATAAGAATGCATAAAAAGTATGTGTGACCGCTTATACATTTCATTTGACACATGATCTTCATTAACTTTTTGCAAGGAGTCTGCTTATTAGTTGACTTATACATTTTATGAATAATCAGCAATAGAAACTTGCCAAAAGGTATAAGGAAATTTCTATCCGTGCACACCTTCTCGAAAATCGACCAATCAACAACAGAGGGATTTTCGAACATCTTAATTTATTTTCGGAGTGTCAAATATAAGTGAATATTTACCAAATGACAGATGGAAAGTTATCGATTAACCCTGCTATCCGAGTGTGGTTATTTCTGACTAACAAGAAATTAAATTTTGACAACCGTGGCTGAGTTCTGCTCGAAAACCTATCGATCGGTAACACAGGGATTTTCGAACATAAGAAATAACTTTCGAAATTTCACTTTTGACCACGAGTTAAAGCTGTGTTCCATTTGGAAAATTTTCATCGCATCGAAAATAAATAAGCTCTTTTCATGCACCATCAATGTAGAGTGCGCTAGCCGATTTTGAAAGGAAATGTCATCCAATCCATTTGTTTACATCATAATGACGATTTTCAAAACTCAAAACAATGTACATTTCAGGCATAACATTTGACAACGGCACAAAAGCATTTGTAAACAAACTTTCTAAGGCCCTTTACACGCGAACCGAAGTACGCCCATGCAAACCAATACCACTTTCGGAAAGGTGATAGTTGCCCCTATCCGATGATGTTGTTGGTTTGCGTGAGCGTACTTTGGTTGGCGTGTTAAGGGCCTTAGAAAGTTTGTTTACAAATGCTGTTGTGCCGTTATCAAATGTTATGCCTGATTTTATTGCACAACTTGCAAATTTCCATCGGGAGTGAATACGACGATTATGTACAGATCTGAACTGATTTCCAGCTGAAATAACCACACATTAAAAATCCGGAAGATCATAACCGCTCACGGAGAACAAATTCGTTAAGTTAAGATAACAATCCTAATAGTTAATTTCACATGGAAAAATATTGTTGTTTGAAAGAAACCTATAGTTATTTCAACATTAATTCTACCGTCAACTCAATCATATCTACCTAATAGATTCAACTGTTCATCTTATACTCAATTCAACTATAACTTTGATCAATTATAACAACCGCCAAATGTAATTTATTTATATACTTTGGTTTCAAGTGATCATCATAAATCCACACACTTTTAACTTGTGATGCGTAGAGCAGGCGATAAGATAGCTGGCTCTCACGCAGATGAACACGGTTCAAATCTAAGTTGAATGTTCTTGGTCACTTTTTTATGATTTTGCAGTTGTGTTTTTGAGATCGATAAAGAAGCAAAACAAACTTCCTTGATATGTCGATAATGAAGAGCAGTTCGTTTAATAAACATTGTAAAATGTTGCTTTCCTAACAATAGTTTTCTTGAATCAACTAAAGCATAGTTGTATTTTGGAGTTTGACGTTTGTTCATCTACTGAAAAATATAGTTGAGCCAACCGAGGAGCCAACTATGGACTATAGTTGTTGCCCTCTATATATAGTCAAATCAACTATAGTTTCGGGTTATCTCTAAAACAATTGAACAATATAGTTATTTTGACCGGAAAAATAATTGTGTCTGCTATAATTTGTTCTCCGTGCTGGGACAATTTAATAAATCTTAATTTTTCTCATCAAAAATATATGGAAGCACCAGCCGGATCACTGCAAACCCGATACAGAAAACAAAATATTCCACGTGGATGATGATTTCAAGCACCTGCGGTGGATAAATTAATCAGAAAAGGTGAAAATATTGCCCTCCTCCTATGCTTCACGGTGAAAATGTCCACCCTCATCACCATTTTGAGGGTTCCCCTAATAACCGCCAGAGGCTGAAACGATCGCTTAGTTTCTTTTGGATTCGCCTATTAAGGCTGTGAACCATTTGCCAAGTTAAATTTAACTCGTGGTTAAAAGTGACATTTCGAAAGTTATTTTCTATGTTCGAAAATCCCCGTGCTGTCGAACGACCGGTTTTCGACCCACGGTTGTCAAAAGTTAATTTCTTGTCTGTAAGAAATAATGCTCGGATAGCAGGGTTCATCGATAATTTTCCATCTGTCAAATTTTAACCAAAAGTTAAAAAAATTCACCAAATGGTTCAGAGCCTAATGTTATAAATCCCTCTGTTGTTGATCGGCCAATTTTCGAGAAAGCGTCTGCCAAAATTGATTCCTTGTCTGTTGGAAATAAGTCTGCTGGAATAACAGGTTTATTTGAAAATTTTTTATCTGTCAAATTTAAGTGAAAATTCCTCAAATGGAAAACTGCCTAAATTTAACACGGCAAATGGTTCACAGCCTAAACTCATGCTAACTATAGATACTATTGGCAAATCAAAGTTGGCACTCGTGGAGAATAGATGAACAAAGAGTGTGATGATGGTTTCCAAATTTTACACGGTGAGGTATACGAGTGCAATCTTAAAATGCTTTTATTTTATAAATGAAGCATTTTATTTTAATCTGGTTATTGCTACGTCAGTAGAAAACTTAAGGACTACTCAAAAGACATATAACATAGAAAAAATAATTTCGTTTCAGATTTTTAGGTGTGTGCATAGATTTTAGCTTTTCTACCACTGTAGCAGCAACCAGAATTAAATAAAATGATTCATTTGCTAAATAAAAGCATTTTAAGATTGAATTCGTATACCTCGCCGTGGAAAATTTTGAAACCATCATCACTTTCATACTTCTTCTATTCTCCACAAGTGCCAACTTTGATTTGCCAATAGATTCCATCCATA